TAGCATCTGGTCCCCACTGGACCCTCATCATTTCCTTCACCTGCTCCCCCCACCGACCAAACTGTGCAGCTCTGCAACTGCATCCTGGCCCATCCTCACTCACCCTTCTACCCTTCTGCCCCCAACCCTCACCTCCTTGTACCCCCAATATGTTTTTCCCAATAAAAAGAAAAATTTATAAAAATAAAAAGTATCAAACAGCTTTCTTAGCCTAAGAGTCAAGAGGCCTTCACTAACCAGGATAACTTTTAAACTTGCAAAGGGAAGAAACAAGGAAAAGACTGTTGTTAATTTAGTGATTTACTAGAGATCTGAAAACCATTCTCTTTGATTTTTAAAAACTTCACTCTTCTTGCCACATTCTCTCCAACATTTATTACTTGCTGCCTTGTTAACTTTGCCACTGTTACTTTAGTGAGATGGTACCTCATTGAGATTTTGATTTGCATCTCTCTTATTGTCAGTGGTTTGGAGCATTTCTTCATGTATTTATTTGCTATTGGAATATCTTCCTCTGTGAAAATTCTTTCCATGTCTTTTGCCTATTTTGTAATGGGTTTGTCAGTCTTTTTCTTGTGGAAGCCCAGGAGTATTCTGTAAACTTTTGTTGTAAAACTCTTGTCTGAGATCGTATTACCAAATGTTTGTTCCTTGTCTGTAGGTTTTCTTTTCACCTTGTTGGAAAAAGTTTTTGATGTGCACAGGGATTTAATCTTTAGATTGTCCCATGCTTCAATTTTATCCTATTCAGATTGTGCATTTCTGGTTGTATTTGGCAGTCTCTTTATACCTTGGACTAGAACTTCTAAACTTGATCCCAGTTTGTCTCTTATGAACCCTTTATACATTGTTAGTGGGATTGTAAAATCGTCCAATCATTCTGGAAGGCAGTTTGGCAGTTCCTCAAAAAGCTGAACATAGACCTACTACTTGGAATATATACTGAGAAAATTAGAACTGAGGCTCAAACAGAGATCTGTACACCAATGTTCACAGCAACATTATTTACTATCTCAAGAACATGGAAATAGCCCAAATGTCTAACTACAAACTAATGGATTGAGAAATTATGATTGAGAATTATTGAGAAATTACATTCACACAATGGAATATTATATATCATGCAGGAGCAATGACTGGAAAGCATTATGCTAAGTGAACTAACTCAGTTAAATATTGTTTAAAACCATTACTGTAGAATGAGTATAAGGCTTCAAGAAATGTGGTAGAGGTTGGATGGAGAAGGATGAGGATGTTCACGGGAAGGGGGCATTAATCATGAGGTTGTATAATCTGTTGGGTGGGGGGGATGAGGGAAATTCAAAGAATTTGTTCTTTAAAGCAATGTATTCGAATTTTGTAAATAAACTAGAAGAACACTTAAAAATATTTTTTTTAAAAAACTTCACTCTTTAAAATTTTTAAATATTTATATTTTATAGAACTATAGAAGTATCAAACATAGTAGAGAATGGTTCCTTAGAATCAAAGTCTCAGCTTCTCCAAATTGATATACTTTATATACTTATTATGTTAAAATACTACTTACAAGAATTTGTCATTGGAACAGTGGATGTATCTAGGTTTTTGACACCTTCACATACAACAATATCAAGATACAGATTTATTCTGCCAACCCCAAAATCTCTAATAGCCTTTTATCTGCGCACACACTCTTCCCTACCAAAAAAGTTCACTGTAAAATTCACACTATTAATATGGATCCGTTTCTTACTATTTAAATCTGGTATACAGTATTTCATTTATTGTTAATGCCATGGCCCATTATTAGGTCTCGATTCTCAATATTAAAGGCAATAGACAAAATATAAAATAAATCTATGGCAAATGAACTTTTGTTTCCATAGTTGCTCAGTTTTTTTAGTGGTTTCAAGCTTGGTTCCGCTCATCTAGAGCTGTTCCTAAGGTTTCTCTTTAGCCTTTCAGTGTTTGAACTCTTTTCTCAGATCACTGCATTCTCTAGATTCTATTAACAAATTATTCCAACAAAAAAGAAACTATTTGCAAACTGGAATTCCAGTTAAATCAGCATGAGATTTACAATGGAGTAATGGGGTTTTCCCAATTAACTGTTGGAATTAACTCTCTATGAAATGGATTGATTCGGTGACTGGGGTAATCGGGATGGGTGTATCAGAGGCGGTGCGGTTGGCGCAGGATAGAGCAGGGTTTAGGGCTGTTGTGCATAGGGTCGCTATGAGTCGGAAACGACTCAACGGCACATAACAACAACAATCTCTACTAAATATAAAAATACATTCATGATTGTATAGTAACTACAGACACCAAAAAAGCACGTCGTGGGTTAAATCTGTGCGGACTTTTGTCACCCTTCTATTGTACAAATAAAGTCTAGTCTTGCCTTCAAGGACTAAGTCCTGCCTTTTATGGTACTGAAGAATACTGACAAAATTGCTCCTCGACATCTTTTTCCAAAAATGGTAAGAGAATATGTTAAGTCTAACATGTGATATTACCGCTTACGTTTATGCTAATTATCTTATGGTCAACCTTTGTAGGGTTATCAATAGGACTTCTGTATTCTAGACAAGAAGTACAATTTCAGCTTGGACCTTGCACACATTCAACAATGTGGTAATTGCATTTTTCATAGTGTTAGGGTGTGCTTTTAGTCGGGGTTCTCCCATTTTAAGCTGACTCAAAGAAGTCACGAAGCTTCTTTTCCAACTTTACTCCCAGCATGTATTACCTGTGCTCATTTGTTTGAAATAACAACAAGGTCGGGGCTGGTTATTAATAACCTCGGTTCTTTAGATAATTTTCCAGCCACCTAGTAATCGTGGCAGTTATGTCAGGCTCAATTTGATATGAGAAAAAACGTCCACCTATCATCTCAAAAGAAAAATGGAACTGCTTTAGAATTCAGATTCTAATGAGTCAATGGCATCATCTTCTTCGCTGATGATTGGCCATCATCAGCTTCAACAGTTTTCTCTGGGGTCGCCCACTGCCCTGTTGTTGCTGTGTTAAGCATCAGCAAGTTGGAAATGAACCATAGCTGACCCTCCATCGGGTTTTCAGAGGGAGTAATTCATACAGGAATTCATACTGGCAATCCTTATTCCTCCAAACAGCCGGTGGATTCGAACTTTTGCTTTAGGTTTTGCAATGCAGCTCCTTATCACCAGGAAACTAGAGTTCCGCGCCCTAAAGCCCAAGGATTCTGCGGCGGGTTCGGAGGTTCCAGCCTTTGACTGATTCTCCCGGTGGCGCCAACTGGCCGACGCGCGGCGCCCCGGTGCGGGGGAAGAACGAGCAGCTCCAGGCCCGGCGTCGCCCTGCAGCCTAGTCCTCCGCCCGCCGTGCCCCTGCGCCGGCGCTCCGCCTCCCACAGGCCCGCGGCGGCCATGGCAGCCAGGCTGATCCTGGCGTTGGCGGGCGCCGCGTTTGGGAAGAACCCTTCCGTCTCTCTGCCGCCTAAACCTTTCTGGGTCAGAGCAGGGTTCCGCCAGCACTTCAGCTTAACCCTCTGCTCTGCTTCTGAGGAACAGCGCGGAAGTTCCGAGCACAGCTCACAGAGCAGGCCCGAGCAGGCAGTGGGGCCCCCGTTGACGAGCGAAGGGTTAACAGAGGCGGAGCGGCGGATCATGGAGCGGCACAAGGCCGCCTGCGCGGTGAGCACCCCTCCCGCGGGCTCCGAGCCGCGCGGCCCAAGAGACTGGGGCCTGTGCGCCTGCGCGGGCTCCGCACTTCTGGGACCTGGAAGCTCCCGGGAGGAGGGAAAGGCTGGGCGTCTCTGTCCTGTCTCCCGCCTCCAACGTGCACGCTTTCCTCCCAGACCTGGGCACATAGAAACCAGCAAAGTGATTTGTGTCAATTTTATATCTGAGCTAAACTCTGGCAGCCGGTTGGGACCCTGTTCACTCTATAGAGGGAGAGTATAGGGGTGAGTGATTAAAGAACAGATGGAGAAGATGTGGAAGCTGGGACGTCTCAGAGAAAATGTCTCACATATTTCTTTGAGTTATTATGTATTAAGCCTTTTGCCATCGATGATTACATTATACGCTACAAGAGAGTTTTGCGTTCTTTGCAAACATTGAACTGTTACCTGATGTTGGGAGAATTTGAAATTGCTTGCTAGTGCCAGTATCTAAACTTAACATATCCCTTCACAGTCTGTAATACGCGTCAGACCACATTTTTTTTTAATTTGTACTACCTCTACAAAAAAAAACACAACAAAACACACACACACACAAAGCCCCAAAACCAAAAACCAGTGTAAGAGAAGATAACTATTCTCCAGTAGAGGTATGGGAGATGCTATGAAGAATTAAACTTGATAAAAAGAGAGAGAGAGAGAGAGAGAGAGTGTGTGTGTGTGTGTGTGTGTGTGTATAGAGTCCTTAAAGACTAGGGTTACCTGGTGTGGCTTGAGCCAAGGAGGTAGATAGAAAACCTTGGAAGTTGGGGAAGACTGGCTTTCTTTTTTCTTTCCATTAATGATAGGCCCTGAAAATCCTGCTTCATTCTAGTTAGGAGAATAAAGGTTCACCAGAAAATGACTGGCAGCTTTTGGTTGCTCTTGTTTGTACTCCTTTTTAAAATGGCATGTGTCATGTGTTTCTATACTTCACGTTTGACTTTGGAAATAAGTGAAAGTTCATCTTTTCTAGGGAGCTCTTTTCCTCTTTTTAGAGTTGGTTGCACATATGGACAGGTTCCATCAGCCTATGAAAGGCAAAAGAACTTTCACTCAGAGAGTCCACAGTGGTTTCATCAGTGTCAGTATCACGGGTTAAATGACTGTCCAGAAGCCCATAAGTAAACCCAATCACATGCTTGTTTTTCTTTTTCAACAAATCAGACTGCTCACACTGGTCTTCCTTCAACGCCTGGAGGCAAATCACACTCTTACCTTTCTCCCTGTGCTGATGTGCATCACTGAACATCTTGCTCTCCAGTCAAACTGTCAGTGCTCTTGCACATCTTTGCTGCCACCATTACTCGAGGCTCATTTACTGAGGACAAATTAAGTTTGTGTGGGCCGCCAACCAGCTCAGAGGTGCTCCATCAACACAGAAAGCAGGAGAACAGGTGCAAACACAGGAGCAATCTGTTTAGGCTTCCAGGTTGCCAGATAATTGCCCTCAGAAGGCTCCCAGAAGCTATGAAAAGTGGAAAGAAAGCAGCTACAGAGCTCAGTGTTTGTGTTTGTTTTTCTTCCACGATCCAAACACAGGCTTTGTAAATAAAGAAGTGAGGTCCTAACAATAGGTCATTCTAAGTAGTGTTTAATGCTCTGGGTTTCATGTAATTGGCTCCTGTGATCCCAAAGGATTGAGGAGGCCCCTGAGACCAGCCCCTGGACTTGCTGGCTCGGTTTCTCCTGCCTGGTCTACCTTTGCTGGACTGCTTTCTAGGCATGAACTTATATCTATCCTTTGGTTACATATTCTTTACATAGACATTGAAACCCTTAACCAGAGAAGAAAAAAATAAGAAAAACTTCTTCAGGGCATTAAAATAGATGACCTAAAGGAGTGTGGTTCCACATACACATAAAAATGCCTATCAAAAGATATGTATAGTTCAACTGTATTTAAATTAGAAGGCTTTCTCCATATGCATTTAGTACATCTTAAGGTGATCTGCCAAGGGTGACCTCGTACTATAAAAAGTCAAAAAGAAAGCTGCTGTACAGAAACCCAAGGTGAAGTCACGTCACGCACCTAGCCCAACTCTACAACAGGTAGAAGCAGTTGAGTGTTTACTTATTCCTTCACACAAAGTGCTTGGGACGCTTCATTATTCTATTTGAATGAACATGAAGTATTTTTCTTTGACATCTGAATTAATGTAGTAAAAGTTGCATTGGATCACTTGTGAAACTGAGGACAAGAATGTGCATATGTTAAAAACACTATTTGTTTTGATTTAGGGGAAAGTTTGTGTTTTGGTTTTCATTTTTTTTTTTTAAATTGCTCTTTGCTTAAAAATAGAACCAACAACAAAAAAAGAGAAAGCAGTGTCAAATGTGGCTTGGAGTAACACTTCAGGAAAGTAAAGGAAAGTGTTCAATAACAGCAAAAGTAATACTTTTTCTATAAGGACTGTTGGTTTTGATTAGCACCCTTTCTGTAAGTTTAAATCATTATCCACATATTTTAAGTACTGAAATTGCAACTGCAACTTCTGAGTGAAAGTTCATTTTCAGCCTCTTAAGCTCTTAAAATCATTTAAATCACCTGTTATTAAGCTTGTTACCTAGAAACCGAATGAAAAATACTGGAGCAGTGGCTGCATGGTTATTGGGTATAGAGGAGTTCTTGTTTTTCCATCAACTTCTCATTTTTCTCAAACTGTATATTTTCTCCTTATGTCATATAAAGTTGGATCGTGTATGGTGTCGGAATGCATTCAGTTTTTAATTGCAAGTGCCACTAAAATTACAGAGAGGACATCTGATACTTTTAAAAGTCAAATTTATGGTATTTTATGAGGAGAAATTATGGTGAGGAGATATGATGAATATTGAGATTAATGAATTGTTTCATTTTATTACCCTTCAGGCAGGCCAACTAAACTATGTGGATCCAGCTACTGGCTATTTGGTGCTCACACAGCTCGCCCACTTGCAGAGAGGCGAATGCTGTGGCTCTGCCTGCAGACACCTGAGTAGCAAATTCTCGCATTACAGCAGCAGTTTGTAGTGCTTCTGTAACTTCGTAAATACCTGTTATTTGAAAAACAAGGCAAATAAAAAAGCTAAATAGACCTGGAGTGCACTTTTCACAAGCTACTTTAGCCCAGGACAATGAAGTCCTTAGGGCCAACATAGGACCTTTAAAGTTAACAGAATTTTGTAACATTTTACTGTGAACATCCATTCCTGGATATACTGTGATTTGAAATTGACAGGGGCTCTTTATTACCAGGAAACTTTTCATGAAGTTTCCCTGGGCAATCACAAAGAGGACAGGAAAAGAAATTAAAAAGTGTTGCAAAATAGATCCCCAAAAGCATTTTCTTCATTATACCTGAATAGAAATTTACCACTCCTTCAGAGGTTGAGAGGGGAGTGTCCTTTAGACAAAGATGGGTTTTCTTTCTTTTTCTTTTCTCTTTTCAGTAATCAGATTACTCCAGAACGTATGCTGTCCATTTCCTAAAATGTCTTTTTCTGTATATATACATCTCTTTAGGCAAGGATTAGTTAATCTATCTTCATTGATGAACTTTAATTAATTTTCTGCAATATTCTTTAAGGAAAATACATTAATTATTTCCTATAAAGAGCTTCTATTTTGAGCAAAGTAGTAATGGGGGAAAGGTTCTTAACTCTTAGCTTTTTGAAGGCATTGTAGTAAGGTAAATTGTGACAGGGTTAAAATGATAAACAGATAACTGCTTTTTTGAGAGCACGTAGATGATTTTAAAACATAATTCATCTTCTTTTGTGAATTAAAAAAGGACTTCCTTTCTATAAAGGCAATTAGGGATGCCTTTTCTTTATTATGTTTCTAAAAATTAATAGTGAATCAGGAAGCATATGTTTTGGGGCAAAGATGTGAGTTTTTTTATCTCCTTCAACTGACCCACATTTTAGCCAAGGAATAGACAATAAATACATGGATCAACTGTAGGCAGTACTGAAAAGAGACATAAGTCTTCATTTTTATGTTTATCCTTACCTGTGCCCTTAGCTGTTTCTAATCAAATACATAAGAACTCTGTGTAAATTGAGGACTTGGGGACTTTCTGAGGGGGGATTTTTGATAGTAAAATTCTTCAAGTTGGAAGTATGTGTTTAGGAAGTGGTTCTTGAACCCTAATGAGGACCATTTGCCCCTGGTCGTCATTATCCTCCTCTTGAAGGACTCTATAGATCAAATGATGTGTATAACATTGCTAACATTCCCTTTTGTCACCACAAGCAGTATTACACGTTTCCATGATGATTGTTTAATAATTCAATAACAATTTGTTTTTATTTCTTCTGCAGTGCCCATATGGTCAAGTCAATGTTAAAGATCCATCCAAAAGGAAGAAATTCAACTCATATTTTTATGTTTGACAACAACTTCATCTGTTCTCAATGTAATTGAACCTGTATTTGTAAAACCTAAAGCCTTTATCCAGAACTGCCTTCTAAGCTAGGAGTACTGGGGAACCAGTTTACTCGTAAATACATATATTAAAAGAACATCAATAAAATAAAAAGCTAGCAAGTGTTTGTGTGTTTCTGAAGTGGCACATTGATACTTATTTCCCTTTCTTTTTGCTTGATTATGAAACACATATGTTAAAGAAAGAAAATAATGACTGTCCCATTAAATAAGTAGTGGCATTCAGGTCACATTAGTAGCTCTTGATTTTTCATATAGCCTCAGTTCTCCTACTGTTTTCTTATCAGTGTTATCAATCCAAGGAAGGTTGTTGGCAAATAAAAGAATTTTACTGCATTCTTCATTTTATTTATATCTCGAGTGATATAGAAATTGGTGCAATGCTATCTTGTGCAGCGTATGAGTGCCCAAGCAGGGCCATTCTGCAGCAAGGAATGTTCTCTTCTTCCATCTGTTCTCCTAATAAAAACGTTAAATCATTCTGACTTGGGGGTCAGACCGCTAAATATCACTCTTCCTTTTCTCCCGGACTCCTCCCTCTTCCATTTAGTTTGGTCCTTCCCAGTCAGACCTTGTTGTAGCATCTTGTTAGTTTCACGCCCACTCAGTTCACTGCAGTGAAGTCCCTAGGTGCCAGTCTCCAACTCAGGTCAGGTCCTTGCCAGAATTGTTCTCTCCCTACCCTCTTCTGTGCCTGCTTCTGGGGGTGGTGGTCCCCAGAGGGTTCTACTCAACCCAGCCACCTTGTCCCTTTCCAGTGTAAGCTGCTCAGTAAAACAGGGCTTCTGTCCACTAACAAGGCTTCTGTCCACTTGGAAGGCTGTCGTTGCCCACAGCTGGCCCTCCACCTTTTCCTAGTTGAAATGGAAAGGTTCAGAACACCTTAGGAGTCTGTCCAAGGCTCTCTTGATGATGGTCCCAATAATGGCTTATGAGATCTTAAGCAAGATCCCATTACCTGCTTGTGATTCAAAAGAAAATGCAAACTTTCAATTAAAAATAAAAGCCTTCTTTAAATTCCAAAGTAAGTAAAAACGAGACAGTTAAGTTTCTAACATACCCTATCAGTTGTGGCTTGTGGGGTGGGGTGGGTTTTTTTTTTTTTATTTTGTTGCATTTGTGGACTTTTAAAAAAGTATCAGATATTAAACTATCCCCCCATATTGTTGAAATTGTTGATGTCCCAGTTCTGCTAATACTCCTAACTGTGGTGCCCTAAACAAACTGTTCTGTGGGTCCTGTGCATGTCAGCCGCTTCACTGGATGTAAAAGAGCAATTTTTATGGCCTAGGATTGTCCTAGCCAGACATTATCCTGAGAGGGAGGCAGTTAACCTTTCCAGAAAGACAATAAGATTCTGTGGTGCCAGCTACCTCTCCATCTTTAGGATAAGAACCATTTGCTCCACGTCTTGTATTAGATTTGAAGGTTATCAGGGCTACTTTCTGGGTGGAGGTTGAATGGTGCTTTCTTTAGTTGTCAGAGGAAGTGAGGGGAGCTAGGAAATGAAACCTAAAAGGGTGGTTTTTCTGGAGAAAGAAAAGGGTAAGAAGAAGGGTAAGGGTATGCTCCAATTATAGGCAGTTTGGAGAAAGTCTCCTCACAGGTGGAAATAACTCACAGGATGCTTCTTTCCTCCTGGTAGTAGGAACTGACCCAAGGAAAAAAAGGACTGGGGCATCCATTACTGAAAGCCTTCATTGGGGGTGGGTGGTGATTGTGATTCTTTTTGGCAGAACTTCAAGCTCTGCTGGCAACAGCCGGTGCGCAAAGGAGCCACTAGGGACGCAGGGGGGGGGGGGGGCTGTCCTTACTCTTTCCTGCACCTGGAGCCCCCGGAGCCAGAGCCGAGGGCAGAAGTTCTTCTCTGCGGTGGTTGTGGACACACGTCAGGGGTGGCTGCAGGGCGGGAGCTCCCACATTAAACACAATATGGGCACATAAATGGGCCTCACTGCAAGAACTTTAAGCTATATTGTATTTGCACGTTGTAAAGTGAAAATTCGGCTTTCTTATAGGTACGTGTATACAAACATATGTGGATACCAAGAAATGGAGATTCCCAATTGAAATCAACCCCGTGGCTGCTCCGTGGAGACTCCTGTCCCAAGGCACAATCAATCAAAGGAACGTTTCAAACGTGGCTACAGGTAAACTTAGTGGGCAAGGGAGGATCCAGTCCTGCAGTGCTAGTTCTTCCCTTTGCTGGAGAAGGATCCAACAGTTTTGGGGACAGGTGGATCAAGAGGTACATTATGTGGAGCAAAAAAGAGAAGAGAGCGCTCCTTTCCTCAGCCCCCCCCATTTCCCCACACCCCATTAAGATTTGGGGTTCCTAAGGCAAGTTTTTAGAATCCAGCAGCTGCTTCATGAGAGAAGGACGGGAAATCTCCTCTCCTGCAATTTACTGCCTCTGAAAACCCACTGGTGAGTCAGCTACGGCAACAAAACTGGATCTATTCTGGAATCAGAAAGAGTAGGCGTCTCTGGCACGAGCCTTTGTTACAACGCATTAGCAGAGTCTGTTCCGCACACACTGTTCCCGATGCCAGAGCCAAGGAGACTGGGAGGGGAGAGGAGCGTTCTCTATCAGACAAATGGTCGCCGGCTTGTTGTCTCTCTACCACACGCTGGCTTGGACAGCCTCGACGAACTTCGACTCCTCTGCCTTGCTACTTTTGCCATTTCATCTTTACATCCAAGCAACCCCTTACATTTGTGGATGAGCATGTGTCTATGGTACAGGATTTAAAATTTGGGGCTTCTTATTTGACACCCTGAAACCATTAAAAGACATTTCTCTTCCCCAAGGGGGGTGGAGGTGGAGACAGAGACAGAGAGACAGAAGGAAGGAAAGACAGAAGTCAGTGGTTAGATAGTTAAGTATTGGGGAGGGCGCGGAACAGCACCTTCTCTACAGCTTGTGTAAGGAGCGGCTTTTTTTCTGTTTTTTGTTTGTTTGTTTGTTTTGTTTTTTTTGTTTTTTGTTTTTAAAGATAAGGTTCTGGAGAATCTCCTTGGGTTGTTCCTGGGACACCAAGCCTCGCTTGGAATTCTGATGCCCTGCTGCGCGCAGAGCGTGCCCCTGTTTTGTGGATGACCATTGTCTAAGTAAAAAGAGTTTTGGGGTTGGGCTTTGATACAGGACCTTAATCTACACACACCCACCTGTACTGAGGCTATGGGTGTGATAGAGTAAACCCACGTACTGGGGACTGTAGAGGCCTTAGGAGATACTACCACCAGAATTTTTTATTTTAAAGTGTGAGCTTCTCTGTGCGCTTTAGTGCGGGGACACGAATGTGTGTGTGTGTGTGTGTGTGTGTGAGAGAGAGAGAGAGAGAGAGAGAGAGAGAGAGAGA